TGATTTTCATCGCATGAGTCATATTGCTGGTTATTCATATTTAGCGCTGCACCTTTATTTTGCATTTTTATTAAGGGTAACTTACTGGAATACAAAGTTACATTTATGTTTAATTAAAAAAGGAGCATTACCCTGAAAGCTGTGCCAAAAAGGCAGGCTGAGGGCAAATCACTAGTCACCCTTGTTGCCTTGTGTTTCCCTGCTGCTGATCCTTCCCATTAGTTACCTGGGTTGACTTACTAAAAACTGGAGCACTCAGTATCTGGTTCAGCTGTGCATGGTAGCCAATCAACTACTAATGTCAGCTTGTTCAGTTAAGCTTTGACAAAACCTGGAAACTAATTGGTTTCTGTGCAGAGCTGCACCAGATTTTGTACTCTTCACGGTTAGTAAATCGACACCACCATGCTTTATTTTGTACTATGTCTCTCTGTGGAGGTGTCCATCCTGGTAGAGGCAGGGCTTTGCTTCCTCATGTCATCATTCTCTAGCAAGTGAGCAGCACATGAGTGACATCACCAAATCTGCTGAGACTACACTGCAGATAAAAAGCTATGAGGCTGAAGGCACGGGATTGCCTATGTACACTCACTTACCAGGAACTGTATTGCTATTTTTATAATAGGAATTCAAAAGAGAGGTTACATTTTTAGAGTAGTGCTTAGGCACAATTAGGAGTTCTTCACTTTTCAGTTCAGTTTCACTTTAAATGTGAAAATATTTATCATTCAATGGTATTCCTGGGTACTGCTCAGTGCCTACTTGTTCCAAAATATTTTTGGTGTGTGTGAATCTTTTTCCCTCTCTACATACCAATTATTTGCAAAATAATTAAATGCTTCAATCTCCATTCCTTGAACTACAATGGAGTTTTAAAAGGCAAATGTACACCTGCTACTAAGTCTAAATTTTTAACTCATTGCAAATGTTTTCCATTATCCAGAAAGTCCAGCTAATATACCCACCTATCCTAGATTACACCATATTACCAAGGAACCTCATAAGAGGAATGGCAGAATCAGAAGGTTTAAAATGATTGTAAAGACACTTATTTTCATTAAAATAAAAAATGATGCTATAATTACTTGCTTTGGATCTGTCCCTTATTTCTGCTTCTGGAATCCCCCACCGGCACTGTTCACTCCTCCTTTCCCTTGGGTGCTCCCTTAGCAAGCTGGGGCCCCATGTGGGCTCGCTCCCAAGTTGGGCTGTGTGAATCCATAGACACACACAGCGTAGCACGACCACGCCCCTACTCCCTCCATACAGAATTTGACTGACAGCAGTAGGAGCCTATGGCTTCTGCTGCTCTGAGTGTCCTGTGAGACCAGGAAGCTATGGGATCAGTGCTACTGGTAGGACAGTGCTGCTATGAGAGAGGAGTCAGGTAAGTCTTTAGAGATTGGCGGGGGGGGGGGAATCAAGTAGTGGGGGGTTTTGTACCTTAATACAGACAATACATTAATGTAAAAAAAAAAAAAACCAAAAAACTTTTATATATGTCAGGAACCCCAAGCTTTCCATCCTCCATCACGAAGTACATCCTAATACTACACCTGCGTAGAAAAAATTAAAGTGGAATATAGCCAAAACCAAAAATGTAATGTATTGCATTACTAATAATTAGATGTGGTGGCTGCATTGGTTTTTTTCTTTTAGGCCTCTTGCACACTGCTGCCTAAAAAGTCTTGGTTTTCAGATGTACAGCATTTTTTCTGACATAAAATACAGCCCATTGTTTTCATTGTGCCTGTGCACCCAGGCATGTAGTCCTGTGTATTGATTTTGTAAAAAAAAAAAAAAATCTATGTTGCCAGTTAGTATTTTGGCTCACTGAGGACATTAGATGTTCTGACCAGGAGAAGAAGACATCAATCTAATCAGGGAATGGACACGCACGCACATAAGTCCCCATGTGCTCCTTCTGCGCCCCCCCCAATGGGTGTGTCATTTACCTATCGTTGGTAGAATGTGCAAGGCTGGGACTTGCCATGGTTATTGTTTGTGAGGATGGCTTTGATCATAGGGGCTCCATGTTCTGCCTAGTGTCCAGACCATTCTGGGCCTGGTGTCACCCAGGTGTAATCTGCGCTCCATGCACCCCTCTAGCGACGCCACTGCAAATATGCGCAAATAAGTCCAATATTAATACCTGAAATTATGTCCAGAAATGCTGATGTTCAAACATCAGTACCATGCAAGAGGCCTTAGGCTTTTTCCCCTCTGTTTTCACCTGTGATCTGGCAAGTAACACACCTTATGTATTAGAGTGCTCTTACCCTGGAAGAATGAGCACAAAGGGAACATTTGGACAGCAGCATTGTCAGTCTGGGGAAGGGAGTGTTAGCTGTACCAGCAGATTTAAATACACTAACAAACCTGAAGTCAAACTCCAGCTAATACTTTAAGCAGTTAAAGCAACAATTTTTTTCTTTTGAGATAAGTTTTACATAAAAGCTGATCATTGTAAGCACCCCATTTAGTGGTAGATGATTTGTCTCATCCCTGTAAGGGCTCGTTCACACTTGGCTGTTTTGCCAACGCTTGCCAAACGCCCCTATAGCGTTTGGCAAGCGTTGGTCCGGCGTTTGCGGAGCGTTTTTAACGCTCGGCAAACGCTCCGCAAACGCCGCATGCGTGGTTTAGCGGCGGTTGCTAGGCGTTTGCCAAGCGTTAATAATGCCCCACAAATGCCTATAATGCAGTTTGAGTGGTGTTACCGCTCCGCAAACACCCCGCAACCGCGTCGCAACTGCACCGCAAAAACGCCGGCCGGGCGTTTGCGGAGCGGCACCATAGACGAGAATAGGAGGCTTCAACGCCTCCTGACTCGTCCAGAGGCGTCCGTTTTGCCGCGACGCAACGCAAACGCTCCCGTTAGAACAGCACCATGTGCTGTAATGTGCAGAATTGGCAGAGGCGTTTGGGAAGCGGTAAAAACGCTTCTCAAACGCCTCTCTGCCGCCTGCACACAAGGCTAGTGTGAACGTAGCCTAACTGATAAATCCGGAAGAGAGCGTGTTCTGTTGAAAACCAACAGACTTACTGGCTGGATCACCCAGCAAAGAATTGAAGAAAGCTTAAAAAAGAAAACCAATGCAGCCACTACATCTAAGAATTGGCAAGTCTCAATATAATCAACATTTGCTTCTGCGTTTAATACTGTTTTAAGATTTCAGCATACGATTTACTGTAACGTGTTCCTGCTTGCTGGTTTGAAATAATTTGGGCAATCGACTTTATCAAGACTTCCTAAATAAAAAGGTAAAACCACTGACTATGTCTCCTCTGTTCTGTGTGTTCAATACTGTAGTCATTATCAGGAGTGGACTGACAACTCATGGGGCCCCGGGCAATAGGGGAACATGGGGCAATAGGGGAAAGGTACCAGGGGCATCTCATGGGGCCCCCTACTGACCCCGGGCCCTCGGGCAGTGCCCGAGTTTCCAAAATGGTCAGTCCGCCCCTGGTCATTACATACCCATCTGTATAAATCTTAGTCCTATCCTACGATTATATGCTTTGGCTGCATATGCAAATATGGCTTGTGTGCTTTACATGTCAAGGCGGCTTTTTAGTACCTGTCCAGCAATGGTAAGATCCGTGGCTTATGATGACTGATTTCCCAAGCCAGGTATGTGTTGGTTTGTCAAAGATAAACTTCAGACAATAAAATAAAAATAAAATCATGCAGTTATGTAATCATATAAAACTAATGTATTATTTAAAGTAGAACTATAGGCAAAATGTTGTTTTTTTTTTCATTTTGGATGGAGTAAGGGAAGATTATAATCCTTGTCAGATTTTTTTTTTTTATCCCAAACTGTGTCTCAGATGTTGGGGAGATTTACCTCCAGTTCCTGTTCTCTACAAAACAAGAGAGGCAATCCCTGCAAATTAAGGAGATCTATTGGGCCCCCCCCCCCCCCCCCCCCCCCCCCCCCCCCGATCACCAGGACTACAGTCCCCATTGGAGGATATCCTCTCTATTGCTGTTCTGGGGAAAACCAAAATTTTGTTTTTCTCTTACTTTCACCATTGATGATAATGGTAAACAGGACAAATAGGCTGAGACTTTCCTACTGGTGGGCTGAGACAGCAATAAAAACATAACAGGTGTTCAAATCCATCTCTGCTCTATCCAAAACTAGAAAAAAAAAGTTTTGCCTTTAGGTATACTTTAAAGCAGACCTCACACCGTCCTCTTCCTCTTAAAAAGCCGCCAACGCAGTTTAAAAGTATATATAATTTAAAAATCAGTGCTATTTACAAGTTTACACAGATTTATGAAATGATCATTATACACTAATAAATTCTTACTCCTACAGGTATTAAAGTGCAAAAAATTATAATGATGCTTGTAAACAAACACCTCCTTAATAACTTAAATAGCAAATTAAAATGGATTGACACATTAAAATAGTGCATACAGCCTATGAATCCTATAAATGTGCAATAAACAAACTGTGAATGCTTTCTTATAATAGATCAATGCATTCAGTAGCACAATTAACCTCATGAACACACATGGCATGTCAACCATGTAGATGCAACTAAAAAGTGCAAATGTGCAAAATCCCCAAATAGTATTATCCAAATCCAGTGAAAAACAGTGTACATTATTCACACTGTAACCACTTGCCTCCTGAGGATTTACCCCCCCCCCCCCCTTCCTGACAAGGCTATTTTTTGTGATACAGTGCTGCGTTACTTTAATTTACAATTGCGTGGTCATGCAACGCTGCACCCAAATGAAATTGATGTCCTTTTTTTCCCACAAATGGAGCTTTCTTTCTGTGGTATTTGATCACCTCTGCGTTTTTAAGTTTTTTGCACTATAAACAAAAAGACTGACAATTTTCAGGAAAAAAAAACAATATTTTTGACTTTTTGCTATTAAACCTGTTCAGTAAAAAAAAATAAAATTTCATCATAAATTTACGCCAAAATGGATTCTGCTACATGTCTTTGCTAAAAAAAAGAAAAATCCCAATACTTACAAATTATTGGTTTACGTGAAAGTTATAGCGTTTACCAAATGGCGGTGTATATATGTATGTGTGTGTGTGTGTGTGTATATATATATATATATATATGTGTATGTGTATGTGTATGTGTGTGTGTATATGTGTGTATATATATATATATATATATATATATATATATATATATATATATATAGAGAGAGAGAGAGATTTTTTTTTTTCTAGTAATGGTGGCAATCAGCGACTTATAGCAGGACTGCAGCAGGCATTCGGACACTGGGGGGAACTGACTTGGTGTCACTAACATCCCCAGTGACGCCAATACAGTGATCAGTGCTAATAAAAAGCACTGACACTGTACTAATGGCACAGGGCAGGAAGGGGTTAACATGTGGGGCGATCAAAGGGTTGACTGTGTGCTGTTTTACTATGGGGGCTGTGTGTGTGTTTCACTGCAAGCACACTGCTTTGTATGGCTCTGCTATGCAGAGCCATACAAAGCAGTGTGCAGGTGCTGACGGGAGAAATCTGTATTGTTTACATACAGGTCTCACCTCCATCGGAAATCCTCGGAAATTGACGGGTGCTGACAGCCAAGGCCGCTAATGGTGGCCCCTACCCGGAACCGCAAAATCACATGTATATATACGTGATTTTGTGCACCCATGCCACCCTGTAGCAGTATTTCTGCTATAGGGTGGCGTGGAAGTGGTTACAAAATGACTGTGCCAAAGGAAAGCAAGGTCTTCTTAGTGATGCACTCACCAGATGAGCCGACCCCTTGTTTAGTGGGTCAATACTTGTTCTAATATTCAAACTCAAATCACCCTATTTTGACTCCTCTCTCAATTTCCAGTGCATACACATTAAGGCAAAGACTCCCAAACTCGAATCCCCTTTCTTTAAATCTCTCAACACTCCCAGTGGAAACATATAATGTAGAGCACAAGTGTCAAACTGGCGGCTCTCCAAGTCCCATGAGGCATTGCAAGATTGACAGTTACAAGCATGACTCCCAAAGGCAGAGGTATGATGGGACTTGTAGTTTCACGACAGCTGGTGGGCCTCCAGTTTGACACCCCTGATGTAGAGACAAAAGAAATCTTCTATCCCATAAAACCATTTATTAAGTAAAAAAAAAAACATGACATGGCAGCCAGGATGACCCACCTATTTTACAGTAAAAGAGTGCAGCTCCACTAGCTGTTCCTGCCTTTGATGTGAGCTTGCATATTTAGCAAGTGGATGTGACCCTGACCTTGTTCAACACATTTCATCATCCACAAACGTCATCACAATTTGTGTGGCCTCTGTGCCTGCGCTTACCTTATGGCAACGTTTCTCAAGTTCCATGGACCCATAACGTTCCTCCAGAGGTTGCTAGCAGTTCCCTGAGCAATGAGCAAATTCTGACTCCGATAAGTTCCCACTGACACCATTGATTTTGTTAGTTATCTGTAAGGGATTAATGTGGTGATTGGACGCGGACAACCATTTTGTTAAAGATCTACCATCTTGTATCATACTCTGCAAATATCATTCTCTCTCCCTCCAGCCCCCCTCCCCTTGCAAGGAATGTGGTCTGTGTGTGCTGAGTGCACAGGGCACAGCTGGATACGCTTCATGGTTGTAAACCCAATTAGCTGGTCCCATGATGTCTGTCAGACTCTTGCCTTGGCCTGGTCGTAAAGCTATAAATCAGTCAGTCACTGGACATGAAAAGCATTCCAGAGTGGCAGTAAAACGTACATCCCCCTTGAAACCACTTTTTCAAACAAATTCATAAATCCCGACAGGAACAAGGTACAATAAAACAAAGCATATTCAGATAGGTCAGTTTAATATGAGTCACCTTACACCCCTATGTGGCACCTACACGAGAGTAGAAAACAATATGTCTTTATCTGGAACGGTAAGATATGTCATATTTGATGTCTGGACGTTCAGGATAATATTCTGCATATTAATATACCAGTGGCAAGGCTGCTACATGTACCTAGTGAAGGTTATTGGCCAGGGTATAAACTCGTGAGGGATTTGGTCCTAGCCTGGGTCTCCACCTAAACCCCCTCCCCAAATGAGGCGATTTGGCCCTTGGCTTCAGTAGACACCCCCTGCTGGGACACTAGAAAACAGGCTGTCATGCCTGGAGCGAATGATGGAGAGATTCTCCCTTTTAACATCAGGAACCAACTTTAGGAGAAAAAGTACCCTTTTGTTCAGGACACTTGAACTCTGCTTAACCCAAGGACTTCTGCAGGTATCCTACCTTCTTAAACGTCTTTCTTTATCTCTCTGTTGTGTTTTTCCTCTCAATATTTTTATTGCACCATTTTGACCTTTTAGTACTAAATCCTATTTTAGGAAAAGTGTTGAACTGTTTCTAAAGCTCTTTAATGCAAACTAAGGATCCCTGTCTCTGAAGAGTGCTACTGTGTTTTCAAACCTCTGGATACATCTGTCTGTGGTGACAGTGTGTATACAGATACTTATTCAAACATCATAATGTTACTGCTAAGATTTGTGAGTTTCCTCCTTCTCTGTAAAAAGGTGGTGGTGGCAGTGTGAAGGGTTAATTGCATAATTAACCTGACCCAGTAACAATCGCTCTCAGGCTGCTGGTACCTAGATTGGGGTCCAGTGAGCTGGAAAATCTTTGTGTAGGGTGCAGCTGAGAGTGGCATTGTTACGCAAGTGGTAGCGCGGTTTTAGATTGGCTAGTCCTTCGGACACAAGTTGGTGAGAAGGGGTGGGGTCTGACGCTGTGTCCGTCACAATTAATTATTCCTAATGTCCACAAATGTAAGGAACATTCTTCCCACTAACCATCACACTAATGTATCATGAGTTGTAGATATAGTCATTTTTAGCAGGGTTTCCCTGAGTCCAGAAAAGTATTTCAAGGATTCCTCTATGTTGAAAAGGTTGAGAGAGGCTGCTTTATGGGGTACTCCTGCTAACTCTTCCCTCGACCTATTGCAAACAAATCAATTGTCCTTTATTTCCCTGAGGCTGCTATATAAAAACTACCAACAGTTAGACCCCGCTTGCAAATTATAACAGAACAAGAATGTAGAGATGTGCTGGTTGCTTTAAATCTTAAACAGCAGTTGCAAAGCATTTTTTTTCTTTTCTCTCTTTGTGAGTGACAGACAGGAAAAGCAGGACTGTGCTCTAATTGGTTGTTGCTATAGCTGAGAAGGATCCACCCATAGCAGCACTGTTGCAGCTGAACTTATGATTGGCTGTGGAGGAAAGGAGAGAGGAAAAAGGAAGAAGCACATGTGGGGAGGCAGATATTTTCAGGGGACTGCATGGAGCAAGGGCTCCTGGTGTAAAGTCAAAGAGTCTCACTCTTTGTGCTGCTAGAGCCCATGGGATGGGCTGGGAGTGTGTAGCAGAGAAATTGTTGCAGGAGGACAGTGTGCAAACTAAGGATTTTCCTGCCTGACACTCAGGATTACAGCCACTCAAGTGCATGTCTCTCAAAGTCTGGAGCTGCTGAAAGAGAGAGGATTTCTACTGCTGTCTAATGCTATCTAGAGGACAATCCAGAAACAGCGAGTATTCTGTGATGAAAGGGGATTTTGATATTGCTGCATTTTCTGTTCATCTCTGGAGAATGGTCATTAGAAAGCCTGCTCTCTAATTCTCAGAGTGACACAGATCTTGGAAAGCCCAAGCTGCTAAGAATTAGCTATTCCTGCTGCTGATTGATGAGAGAACTCTGTCACTGTATATTACTGGTTTGTCTCCTCAAGACTTGTGCTGTGGCTGAAGAGTGTGTTTAGTTCCAAGTCCCCACAGAAGCTTGCTGCTTTGAATATACTGAGCAAGTGTCAGTATATCAGGATTTCACCTGTATGGTAAAGATCTTGTTGAAGTGTTGTGTTTCTTCTATTGCAATGTTCACTGAAAGATTCTGCTTAAAGGAGACTGTGCTATCCTGCTACCCCTGGATTACAAATACTCTCCCATGCAGAGTGAGCGCTCTTCCATTGATTAAAGGGCCCCGACGTTGAGAGACTTTAAGTTTTATCCCACTGATCAGTGGTTAGGTAGGACATTTCTGCTCTAGATAGTACTGCTATAACAAATGTCAATAAGCTGCTAAATCTCATTAACAGTTATTGTTTCATGTGTCAATGTCACCCTAGTCAATGTGATATTAGTATGTTTTGGAGTTTTTGGTGAGTGAATTGTGACTTCTTACTAACTGTGTTATGCAAAGTGGTATCTGTGTTTTATGTACATTACCTGTGTTAAATCAGCTAGTTCTTTTTCCGGGTTTGTCTCCTTCAATAAAACCCATATAAAATATTCTCAGAGTGTCGAAGTGTTCTGGGTATAATCAGAGGTGTCACCAGATTCAGGTGGGAGCTGAACCTATATATCTAGCCAAGCATCACCCAAGGGTGTGCTACAAGAAGAAAAAAAAAGTGAAAAGTACAGAATATTACATTTAGCAGAAGCCATCTGGGGCATTTAAAATAAATTAAAAGAATTTAAAAGTATTTTGTGAAACCATATGGTTTAGATCTCATGCATGCGTAGTACAAGATCTGGCAACATCACCCGAGCAGGGAGCGCCATCTAATTAATTAAACAGGATGATTTGATATCGGCATGTAGACCTGCATGCAGCACTGATTTTGCCTATTGGAGGGGATGGGTCCACTTTAATGCATGGATTGTCAATATGTGCATTTACCTTGATATTATTCTCCTGTAATCTTGATTACAACAGCACTCAGTCTGTGAAAGAAAGCAGCACTAGGAGCCATTCAGGATGTTTGCATTACTCATTTGCTGAAATAGAACATGCAGACAGAATTGTAGAGCAGTGCAAACGGAAGAATTGCCTAATTGATGTGCTACTGTTTAACCGCTTTCCCGCCGCCCTATAGCAGAAATACTGCTACAGGGCAGCAGGGCTGCGCAAAATCACGAATATATACGTGATTTTGCATTTCCGGGTAGGGGGCATGTGTGAGCCCTACCCATACTGCTATTGGCGGCCTTAGCTGTCGATCACTGGGTCCCGGCCGGTGATTCCAAGCTGGCACACAGCGATAGCCGAGTACCAATGATGGGGGAGAGACCGGTATGTAAACAATAAAGCTCTCTCCCCTGTTAGCGCCTGTACGTTGCTTTGTATGGCTGTGCATAGCAGAGCCATACAAAGCAATATGCTTACACAGTAAAGCACACAGTTAACCCATTGATCACCACAGATGTTAACTCCTTCCTGCCTAGTGCCATTAGTACAGTGTCAGTGCTTTTTATTCGCCATGATCACTGTAGTGGTGTCACTGGGGATGTCAGTGACAGTTCCCCCCCCCGGTATCATAATGCCCGCCGCAGTCCTGCTATATGTTGCTAATCGCCGCCATTACTAGTATAGAAATAAATAAATTCCAGTATCTATACCGCCATTTGTAGAAGCTATAACTTTCACATAAACCAATTAATTTACATGTATTGGGATTTTTTTTTAGCAAAGACATGCAGCAGAA